TTCTTTACATTGAGTTATATTTCATACTGAACACTGAATCCTTGATCTTCATCAGCAAGTGCTTCAAGTCTTCCTCACTTTCAGCAAGCAAGTTGTATCATCTGCACATCTCAGATGGTTAATAAGCTTCCTCCAATCCTGATGCTGAATTATTCATCCTATAGCATAGCATCTCTAATTTGTTCAGTATACAGATTGAATAAGAATGGTGAGAAGATACAACCCTGATGCCTGACATATACCTTTCTTGATTTTAAACCATGCAATAGTCCCTTGTTCTGTTTGCACAACTGTCTGTTGATCCCTGTATAAGTTCCAAATGAATACAGTGAAGTGTTCTGGAATTATGATTCTTCTCAAGTTATCTACAGTTTGTTGTGATCCACATAGCTTTGTACAGTAAATAAAACACAAGTAAACATTTTTTCTGGTATTCTCTGCTTGGAGCTCAGGTCCATTGGACATCAGCAATGTTATCCCTTGCCCTCTTCTGAATTCAGCCTGAATGTCTAGCAGCTCTCTGTCACTGTACTGTTGCAAGCATTGTTGACTAATCTTCAGCAGCATTTTGCTTACATGTGATATTCATGATATTGTTCTGTTCAGTCACCTTTCTTTGGAATGGGTATAAATATGCATCTTTCCCAAACAGCTGGCCAAGTAGCTGTCTTCTGATTTTCCTGGCATAGGCGAGTGAGTGCTTCCAGTGCTTTACCAGCTTGTTGAAACATTTCAATTGGTATTTTATCATTTCTGGACTCTTGCTTTTGGCATCAGTGTAGCTTGAACTTCATCCTTCAGCACCTTTGGTTTTTGTTCATGTGCTGCCTCTTGAAATGGTTGCATGTTGACTAGTTCTTTTCGCCACAGTGACCTGCATCGTCTCTCCATCTTCTTTGGATGCTGCCCGCACTGTCAACATTTTGCCCGTAGTTTCTTTCAGTATTGCCATTCGAGCCTTGATTTTTTTTCTCTGAATTCTTCCAGTTTCAGATATGCTGAGTGTGTTCTTCCTTTTTGGTTTTCTAACTCTAGATATTTGCATGTTTTATTATAGTATTTTACTTTGTGTTCTCAAGCTGCCCTTTGAAATTTTCTATTCAGTTCTTTGGAGTAATCATTTTATCTCCAGCTTTGTTTTTATCATGAATGCCATCTTTTTCAATGATTGTTTCTTCTTCATTTCCAACTTTTACATTACATCTTGATTGCAATTTCAAACTGAAGGTATTGGTAGATTTCTTCTGTTTCGGCTTTAGCAGTTGGTACCTAAATTTGAATCATAGCTGTATTGAATATAAAGTTGTATGGACTAGATTTCCTTGTCTGCAGATAGATATGATCCTATCACAAGCAGCATTGTATGCGTGAAGCTAGATCTTGAAATGTCCTTTTTTAATGATGAATGAAATGCTATTCCTCTTGATTGTGCCATTCTTTGCATAGTAAATTACCGTATATACTTGTGTATAAGCTAAGTTCTTCAGCACATTTTGAATGCATTTTTGTGGTAGAATCAGGTGCCTCAGCTGATATTCTGGCTGGCTTATACTCGAGTATATAGGTGTATAGTTTTCGGATTCACAATCCAGTTCTAGTTCATTTCAGCTTACAAATGCCTATGATTTCAATGATTGTACATTCCATCATTTTATTTTCGACGACTTCCAATTTTCCTAGATTCATACTTCATGTATTTCAAGCTCCGTTTTTTAGTAGATTTTTGCAACTCTTTCTTCTCATTTGGAGTCTTTGCCCACCAGGAAATAAAGATCCAGAAGGATTTCCTCCCACAGCCTTTACTCCACTGACCTTATTATGGTCGGCTCTACTTTGAGAGGGCAGCTCATCCTCAGTCTTATTTTGAGTGCCTGCAGATTTAAGAGGTTCGGTCACTAACTCTGACAATGTTCTGCTTCTGGTCATGAGATTTTCCGTATCTGACCATGTTTCAGTGCTATTCGTAAGGCTTTCAGTGACTAATTTTTCCAAAGCAAACAGCCTATTTCTTCTTCATAGTTCTGAGTTTGGAAGCTCTGCTGAGACCAGTTCACCATGGGTGACTCTGCTATGACTTGAAATATCAGTGACATAGCTTCCAGCATCATAGCAACACAGAATCCACCACAGTACGACAAAATGTCAGATCAGTGGTAGAAGACAAGCCCTAGTCTTATGAAGGTGGAGCAGAGATGAGAAATAGAAAGGACTAATTACCAGGACATGTGAAACTGCACACAGAAGCCAAGAAATGCTTGTGGTATTAGAAACTGGGAGAGAAAAGAAAGGCTTCTCCCTTGGCTACTTCAGAGAGAGATTGGCCCCATCAACAAGCAAATTAGAACTTCCAGATTCCTAAACAACAAGGCAATAAATCCCTGTTGTTCAGAGCAATGCACTGTATGGCACTCTGTTTTAGCAGTCCTGAGAAATGAAGACAATCACTGAACTGATTCCATTGATCACTAGGGATAAATAGTTTCTATGCAAAGTATTCACTAAATAATTGTTGAGTGCTTTTGAACAACTTTGGCTGATGGGTTGATTGGTTCTGTTTATTGATGATGAATGTTTAATCACCTGCAGAGCAGGGTATGCAGAAATACAGTTCATGATTCCTGCTCTCAGTTGACTTAGTCTGGGTGGACTAGAGAAACAAATTCATAGACACTCATATGTGGATAAGAAAGCAGTTTAGATACACGAGCAATTGAACATTGAGAAAACATCTAGCCCAGTCCAGATCAAGTCCATAAGGCTGATATTAGCCCCCATGTTTGATACAAATCTATAAAGTCCTCTTCAGACTCATGAAACACATGCAATGACACTGAATGCAGGAAGATCACAGGCCAGTGGGTGGCAAGTCTTGTGGATCCAATGGCATTGTAAGCATCTCAGCGCTGGCAGGGGTCTCCTCGTGGCTCCTCCAGTTCCCAGGGCACAGTCTATCAGTGTAGTGCCATGTGTCTTGTCAGTAGAGAGTTTCTCAGGGAGTGAGCAGAGAGAGGAAAGTGTCTTCCACTTCCAAGGAGGAAATATGGGAGTTCCCAGAATTCTCAGGAGAAGGCCATGCCCACACAGAGCCCTCATTAGTTATATCTTGATTAACAGGGCAGACTCCACCCATTCACTCTTAATCCTCTCAAGTCCCAAATTGACACCAGATTATGTAACTGCCACACTATCCTACAGTAGAAATAATACATATATATATACACACACCCATACGTATATATATACATATATATGTATATGTGTGTGTGTGTGTGTGTGTGTGTGTACAATGCTTACCCCAACAGTTGGTGGAGTAAGATCACCAGGCTGGGGCATCCAGGAACGGTATCACAGGGAAGATGGAGGTGAACCTCGGAGAAGAGGGCAAGGGATCAAAGTGTCTTTATTAACTGGTGCTGCTGTGATATAAGTCCCATCAAGAGTGTGGCTGTAAAGAACAGAAATGTGTCGTCTAACAGTTCAGGAGGCTGGAAGGTCAAGGTCGAATTCAGGTCATGGTTCTAGGAGGATCTCCTTTTGATTTTAGTTTCTAGTAACTATCGATCCTTGACGTTCTTGGGCTTGTGGTATCTGCCATAGATGTCTGTCTCCATCTGCTGCCTTCCCGCTGTGTGCGTCTCTGGTTTCTTTCCATTACTCAGGCGTGATTAGGTTTAGGACCTGCCATTACACTGGCGTGACCTTATTATCATAATAAATGAAAAATGTATATTTCCAAGTGGGTCGGATTTATAAACATGGATTAGGATGACAACCTATTATTTTGAGGAGACCTAATCCCATTCATAATACACCAGGTAAACAGAACAGCAAGCCATTTACATGTGGCCACGATCTACGCCAGCTACTTTACACTCAAAGACAAGCATCCTCACTGCCATCCGATCAATTTAGACTCCTAGTGGACAGGGTAGAACTGTCCCTGTGTTTTCTGAGAGTGGAGATCTTTACAGTAGAAAGCCTAATTTTTCTCCTCCGGAGTGGCTGTTGCTTTTGGACTTCTGACCCTGTGGTTAACAGCCCCACACATACCTCCATATGCTGCCAGGGTCCTCTGCACCTCCCAGACTCTGCGTGTGCATGTGTGTGTATCTCCTTTACACATTATCCCAAACACTATCATTATACAAGTTAGTTATGCCATATCTTCCCTGCTTTACATGGTGGAAAAAACCACCCCTGAGACTCAAGATAGTTAAATATCAAGGCCACAGTGAATCAATAACAGTTAGGATTCATGCCCAGGCCTGTTTGGCTTCAATGGCAGGACCCTTTGCACTACAATGTGCTTCTCCTTCTTACCAATGGAACTCCAGTTGCAAGTTCTATTTAGCACCATAGCCGGGGAAGCCCTGCTATTGCCAAGGCCCAAAGTAAAGAGGATCCCTTCAGCTGAGGCCATGGTCATTATTGCAAAAAACAGGAACACACATCCACCATTGATCCTGTGGTTCTCCAAGTTCGGTCTCTCCGAGAACATGGTAGAGATGAAAACCCTGACTCCCAGAGTCGGGTTAGAGCCTGGTCACCTTCTTTCACAAACCTGCCAGAGATTCTGATGCCCACCAGAGTTTGCGGAATGTCGATCGGGTTTCTACTTCTTGGGTCCAAATCAAGATTCCTCTTTCTTGCTGGGTGGAATCCTTGAATATCTGTGAGGTGTGAATGACATGATAGCTCCTTGCGTGTTTGCCCTCTCCTACTCCGAGTCAAGACCTCAGGTGGTACCAGCCACATGTAATAGTGTGATAAAGTGCTCCTTCTAGGAAAGTCCCCAGATCGCGATACAATGACACCCCCTGGTCTGGGGAAAGAGGGCACTGTGCCTTCGTCTTTGCAGATTTAAAAAATGAGGCCAACTCTGGGCAGAAAGCCAAACAATCTCTGTCTGAACCTCTTGAGAGGTAGTCCTCCTGGAAAATGCCCTGTTCGCCCCCACAGAATGGCTGATATTTGTGCCTCTCTTGTTTGGCTGTTGACAGGAGGACGTCATTGGAGATTTGAAACCCGGCACTGAATATCGCGTGAGCGTAGCAGCGTACAGCCGGATGGGCCAAGGGAGGCTTAGCTCGCCTCTGCACGTTGCCACCCTGCCTCAAGGTAAAATGCATTCAGAAGTATTCATTTCAGGAAAGTGACAGGTTGCTATTCATCTCTTTCTTCGTGTAATAAACATGAAGGAGGAACTACTAAGTGCCCTGGGAGGCAGTGGCTAGTCCCTGGTAGAAGACCACCATCCACCATCCATGCTGGAGAATTGGGTTCATTTTCTGGTCCAGGCACCTCATGTGTGGCCACCACCTCTCTTTCAGTGATGACCTTCGTGTTGCTGCAATGGCACATAGGTTTCAGCAGAACTTCTAGACCAAGACAGACTAGTAAAAAACGCCTAGTGACCTAAACATCAGTCGATAAACCCCCCCCTGATCATGATGGTCTGATTACCGTGGTCTGACCTGCTTCTGATCATGAGACTGGTGCATGAACAGGCAGCGTCTCATCCCCTCGAGCATGAGTCAGAAGGCAACATGATGTCCTCTAACAACGACAAGAGTTGTGTGCCAGGGCCTGAGAACAGTAACAAGGACAGCTCCTGCCCTCTTGGAGCTTAGCGCCTCGGAGGGTGAGCCGGGCATGTTCGAATGAATGTGCAATCACAGATTGTAATGGAGGCTACGCACAGTGAGAGACTTCTTGCAAAGCATGGACAAAGGAAGAGTTGGTGTAGGAGTGAGGGCGATTCCCTTAGGTAGATGACCACCAAGGTGAGCAGGAATGGCAAGGTGAGGAAGGTGAGCAGAAGGGAGTCCTAGGCACAGAGACTCTAAGAAGTGCTCACTGAGCTCACACCTGCCTAGGCCCTGGGGGACAGAGGTGCATCAATTGCAACCACTGCTTACAAAGTGTTCCTTGTGGCAGGAGAAGCTACTGCAAGTGACTCCAGTGTCCCCAAGGTCAGCCTGAGGAATAAGGAGCACGTAGGAGGGAGTGCTTCTATCTACCCCGAGGTTCCGAGAGACTTCGGAAGGGATACTATCTTTGGCCCAGATTTAGCAAGTTGCACGGGCTTTTGCTCGAGAGAGAAGACAGGAGCAGTAGTAGGAACACGAGCTGGGCTTTGTGCAAGTCTGGAAATGAAGACCACAGTGGTAGTTACCACGGGATGATGGGGTCAGGGGAGCCTCGTACATCTTCCCAGATAAGGGCATTTCCCAAAGGCATGCCATCATCGGTGTACATTATTCTGATGATCAGACGTGAGGGTGCGGCACAAAAGAAAGTTTAGAGACCATATGGCTTTACAGATTCAAACTCACTGCCATTTAGGTCACTCTGTGGTGGGTTTCCAAGCGTGTGACTCTTTATAGGAGTAGAAAGCCTCACTTTCAACAGAGATCAGAGGTGGTTCAAAGGTGGGAGTGATATAGAAGGGGTTAAAGGACACACCATGTTGTGACCAGGGTTCATGGTCTGAATCTTCCTAAGGCTGGATTTTTCCACCAGGGGTACCAGGTACAGATTGGGCATGTGCAGATCACAGGCTCCAACCTGACCTGGTCCGCCCATTGGTTTATTTCTGTGTTTGGGTGGATTGTTGACTTTGCTGAACAGAGAGGGTCCGGTTATAGCATGCACACGTGTTTGTTACATATTAAACCCTCTCAAGCAGCTGAGACCCCCAGCCAGGTCTTCTTGTGTTTGCTATCCTGCTTAGATTCCTGCCTGCCTCCCGCGGCCCCCCAGCGACCACACGTCCTTGTGGTTTCTGATTCTGAGGTGGCGCTCTCGTGGAAACCTGGAGAGAGTGAAGGCAGCTCCCCGATCCAGTATTACTCCGTCGAGTTCATCAGGTACGTTCGTGTGGCATTGTCCAAACCCAAATGTGTCAACGGCAGGAAGTCCCATCATCTCCCCCACTGGTGGCTTTGAGAGGGGGCAATACCGTGTTCTGAGTCTTGCACCTGTCCCCTACCTCTTTTACAGTAGGTTGTTTGCAGAACCTGTCCCAGTCACCTAACCTCTTCTTCTAGCCCTGTCCACTCGGAGACCGGCCTGGGCTCTGGAAAAACTCAAGCCACCACCACCCATCAGCCTGCTTGCAGCCTGAGCTTGCAACGTGCCTGTCTGCCTTTGAAACAGGATATTTGAAGTCAATATTTGATGATGACATTTCTCAGGCGGGAGGGGAAACAAAACAACCGTGTGAAGGGCAGTCTGATTCACGGTGCCCTTCACATCCCTGTGGCCGTGGGGCAGGCTGCTTGGTTCGGTTTTCAGTGTTTTCCTTCCTTGCCCTCTCCAGTTCTCGCTGTTGGGCCATACCCGAGGGGAGAAGCCTGATTAAGAGCTTGCAGATGTCAAAACACCGATTCTTGGTGGGGAGTGTAATTTTAAGTGGGGGAAGAAAAAGTGAAAGGGAATTTTCCATCTGAGGCCTCTCTGAACGGTTGTGGCAGTTGGGTTAGAATCGAAGCAGCTGGCTGAGAGTGAGTCTGGGAAACACTGTTTGTGGAGCTGGGGTTCTCTGCCTGGAAGGTGATGGGACTTGCCCGAGGTCTGCGCGTCAGTGGATTCCTAACGAAACTGGCTCAGCACATCATCACGAGGCTCTGAAGCGAGGACAAAGAGCTCTGCTGAGATTTTATTAGCTGCTTTTCTGTTCCTTGACTGCCTAGCCTAGAACACAGGCATTTATTTGCTTCCTCGGAGAGGAGTCCTGGAATAGGTGCCTCCCGGCTTCAGTATAGACCAGGCAGGAAGTTGCTGACTTGCAAGCAGGGGAGAAGTTGAGGCATTAAGGCATTGACTCCTGTATGCGTAAATTCAAAGGATACCCAGGTAGTGTGGTGGTTAGACCAATGGTGAGGTGTGAACCGAAAGCTCGGCAGTCTGACCCACCAGCTGCTCTGCAGAAGACAGATGTGACCGGGCTCTTCCACAGAGATGACAACTTGGAAATCCTATGGGGGCGGTTCTACACTGTCTACTGGGTTGACTATGAGTCAGAATTGACTGAGCAGGGCTGGCTCTATGTGTACATGTCAGTGTGGAATGAATATACGTTAAAGGATGACCAGCTCCATTGCCACTTCAGGAGCTTGTTTCTATCTGTAGCTTGATTTCTATCCATCTCTGCTGTGCTTCTCCTTGTCATTGACTCGATTTTCCACGGGCTCTTCCTAAATGGCAGCAAAATGGCCACCAACCCCTCTAGATTTGCAGTTTTCTAGCTTAGCTCCCCCTGGAAAGAAACTGACCATGTCTTAGAGGCTCCAGCTAAGGCTCAGTGAATCGGTGTAATAAGCCACAATTCACCCTCTTTCCATTCTCTGAGCCAGCCGCGGTGGCTTGGGCGGGGTTAGGACTTGGGACTTGGGAGACCACTCTGATGGGTAACAAAGTGGTCATGCTCAAAGGAACCTAGATTTCCTCTGGAGGATCATTGGGACTTGAAGTCCATGGACTGAGAACTCAAGAGTTTATTCTTCCAAGTGATTTGCAAGCTGGCTAAAATGACTGTGAGAGTAAGGAACAGTAGCAGAGAGAATTAGGAGAAGAATATGCTGCACACAACGTCTCAGACCAGAGCTCTTGAACTGTGGTGTTGAACAGAGCTGCCAGACAGAGCCTAGAGTTGGCGTAAACTTAGAAAAGATTTGAGTCCTGGTTCTAAGACTGGTCAAATGGGCAAGGCTATGAAGTCCCAAAACGTCAGCCTTCTCACTTGTAAAATGTGGGCAAGATTTTTGACTTCTGCAAATAATAACAACTATAATATGGGAAAACTCAGAAAAATGCAAAGTTGTTCATGTTAGCCTTGCAAATCACTGTCTAAACCCCAACAAAATAATTGCCGATGTTTATTATCAATTTTGTGCTCAAACATGTGTCTTCAAACCTTGCTCTATGTCTAGTGTGCTAACACGCTCAGAAACTCACTGCCAGAATTAACTCTGACCCACAGATGCCCTGTAGGGGAGGGTGGATGGCCCCTGTGGGCGTCTGCAACTGCAACGCTGTGCTCTATGGGAGTAGAAAGCCTTATGCTCCTTGGGGAGCAGCCGGTGGCTTCAAACTGCTGCCCTTGAAGTCAGAAGCCCAAAAGAGTAACTACACTGCCACCAGGACTCCTTAAATGACAGAAATGACCCTTTCCAAACCGTCAAACATTTCCTGACGAAGATCAAAGACGGCAGCGCGTTCAGTGTGGATTATACCTTCATGTAAAGAAAACAAAGAGCTGCTCGTGTTTTGTTTAGATTTTATAGGTTTTCCTGTATATGACACCCAGGTTATCTAAAATGACAGAGACAGTAATGGGAGCAATAGTTTTAAAGGGACATGGCAGGGGAAGTTGATGGGAAGGGGGAGCTAACAACGAGTATAAGGAAGATGAAATGTCCTAGAATTGATGGTGGTAATGGTTGGATAACTCCTATGCATGTGAGTGAGCTTAAAAACATATGAAATGTTACTTGTATGTTGGTGAAACTGTTAAAAAGTAAATTACGTATTGATGAATCTATAGAGACAACAAGTACAGTACAGGGTCCCGGGGGGCATGATAGGAAGGGGTTAAAGAGGAGCCGATATCAAGGAGTTCAAGAGGGAAGAAAATGCTTTGAAACTGATTGTAGTGGCAATTGTACAATACTGCCTGGTGCAGTGGAACTATGGAACAGTATGATATCTGTAAGAACCCTCAATAAAATGGTTTGGGGAAAAAAATAACCAAAATAAATAAATAAACTAATTTAAAAAAAGAAAACAAAAATCTCCCAACTGGATCAGTAAGAAATGTCATGACGAATGGAGAAAATATTGATGTTGTCAAGGATTTAATTTCACCTGGATTTAAAAATGACAAAGAATGGTCATTTAATTTCACCTGGATTTAAAAATGACCAAAGCCAAGAAATCAGATGACAGATTTCACTGGGAAAATCTGCTACAAAAGACCCCTTAAAAGTGTTACAAACTGAAGGTCTCTGAGGACCATGTGATGCGAGTTGGGATGTTTGTGACAGCAGCACATGCATATGAAAATTGGGCAAGGAGTAGGGAAAACCCAAGAAGAACCAGGAATGCTCGCAGTCTGGTTTCAAATCCGGAAAGGCACGCCTCGGGGGTGTTTTCACTCACCACACTGATCCAATCTGTACATTGAGCTCCTAATCAAAGAAACTGGATCCGAAGAAGAATGTGGCATCGGGATCAGAGGAAGGCTAATGAACAATATGCAGACCTCACAAATGCTTGCTGCAAGCGGGAGGATTTGAAGATTGCAGCCTTCATTATGGATTACAACTCATTGTAAGGAAGACCCTATTCCTCACAAATGGACCAATAGGTAACAACACAATAGATGGAGAAAAGGTTGACATTATCAAGGATTCTTTCTTCCTTGGTTGCACCATCAATGCTTATGGAAGCAGCAGTCAAGAGATCAAACGGCACATTGTAGTGGGTAAATCTGCTGCCCAAGACCACTTTATTAGTTTTTTAAGAGTTGATATGGCAATCCCTTCCCATGGAAAGTGTTCTTCCACCCACCCCTAAAATTAGAGGTGCTCAATGTCTACATTAGTATGCAGTAATATTTTAGAAGTATATACCATTGTTCCAGCTGTTAAACCCCTATTCTCATCTATCTAACCCCATAAGTCTGCCTTCACAATGTCATGAGAGGCCAACTTTGGATACAGAATTCGTGGATACCTAGACTACTATGTGCCACACAGTATGTGCAGAATTTCAGGCCCTGCTCCCATCCCCTTGGTTCAGAATCCTGCCTGTAGGTCTTCCAGAACACACAACTTTGGTTGAGTTTTCTTTCTCTTGGAACCTCTGTTCTCTCATCGGTGATATCTAGCAGGTTAACCCAGACGAGGAGCCCTTCTGGGTTGTGCATTGGGCTGCCAACTGCAAGGTCGGCAGCTTGAACCACTGGTTGCTCCATTGGAGAAAGATAAAGCTTTCTACTCCCATAAAAACTTATGGCTTTCAAAGCGGGTGAATAAGCAAATGTGGTGAAGAAAGCTGATGGTGCCCGGCTATCAAAAGATATAGCATCTGGGGTCTTAAAAGTTTGAAGGTAAACAAGTGGCCATCTAGCTCAGAAGCAACAAAGCTCACATGGAAGAGCATATCAGCCTATGTGATCACGAGGTGTGGAAGGGATCGCTGAAGACAAATGGGTGCATAAGCAAATGTGGTGAAGAAAGCTGATGGTGCCCGGCTATCAAAAGATATAGCATCTGGGGTCTTAAAAGTTTGAAGGTAAACAAGTGGCCATCTAGCTCAGAAGCAACAAAGCCCACATGGAAGAAGCACACCAGCCTATGCGATCATGAGGTGTCAAAGGGATCAGGTATAAGGCATCATCAGAACAAAAAATCTTACCACAGTGAATGATGTGGGGAGTGCGGAGTGGAGACCCATACCCCATTTGTAGGCCACTGGAGATCCCCTTGCAGAGGGCTCTCAGGGAGGAGATGAGCCAGTCAGGGTGCGATGTAACAATGATGAAAAATACAACTCTCCTCTAGTTCCTAAATGCTTCCTCCCCACCCCCCCATCATGATCCGAATTCTACCTTGCAAGTCTGGCTAGACCAGAGGATGTACACTGGTACAGATAGGAACTGGAAACACAGGGAATCCTGGGCAGATGATCCCTTCAGGACCAGTGGTGTGAGTGGCAATACTGGGAGCGTAGAGGGAGAGTGGGTTGGAAAGAGGGAACCTATTATAAGGAACTATATGTGACCCCCTCCCTGGGGGATGGACAACAGAAAAGTGGGTGAAGGGAGACATTGGACAGGGCAAGATATGACAAAATAACAATTTAT